TCCATTCGAAAATTTAGCGCTGAATTTTAAACGACGAAAGTGAATCTCTTTCTCTCTCTCTTTCTCCCTTCTCATTTCTTGATCCCATTTTGCGAATATGAAGGGATGGGGTGTGAGCGTTCATATTTAAAAACCACTGGAAAAATTTTACCGAGCAGGAAAATCACTGTCGAAAGGGAGAGAAAAAAAAATGAGAGAAAATAAAAATTTAAAGAATATGAGAGGGGAAAAAGAATTCTTTTAGTTATACAAAAACTTTCATCTCGTATACCTCTTTTTCTCGGTAGGAGAAATTAAAGAACAAAATCCAAATTCTCTGATATGATATTCGTGAAATTTCCCTGGGCATCTCGTGCTCCTAATTTGAAATACTTGAGAGGGGTTCCCCTCTGTATATTCGCTACACAGAGAGAAAGAGAGAGAGAGAGAGTAACGGCCCACCCTGGTTAATTAATCCTTTAATCATAAAACTTTGGCGACGGTCTATATTTAAATTTCCAACGACAGCTGCGGTCTTCTATAGGCCCGCGTGGTGGTACTTCCACGCCTTTTGAATGTTACAGACGCCCGGACGTCACGTGACAAAGGGAACATCCTTTAGCATTTTTAGTTTACGAAATTCTTTTTTTTCAATTTTGCAACTGGAATTTGAAATTGAAACGATAGTGTGAAAAAAATATGCGATACTTCTATTTGTGATCGAATTTTAGCTGATTACAATTCCACTTACACTATTCTATTTCCACTTTCACTTTTACGATTCCATTTCCACTTCCATTTTCATTATTCCATTACCACCTTTTCACTTTAATTATTCTACTTTCACCCTTCTAATTCCACTTTCACTGTTCGACTTTCACGAAAGTGGAAATGGAATTGTAGGAGTGGAATGGTGAAAGTGGAAGTGGAAATGAAATAAAATTGTGGAAGAGAAAAGGTGGAATTGGAATAGTGAAAGTGGAACGGTAAAGGGAAAGTGTATGGTGAAAGTGGACTTTCACGAAAGTGGAAATGGAATTGTAGGAGTGGAATGGTGAAAGTGGAAGTGGAAATGAAATAAAATTGTGGAAGAGAAAAGGTAAAAGTGGAAGTGGAACGGTAAAGGGAAAGTGTATGGTGAAAGTGGAAGTGGAATGGTGGAAGTGGAACATTGACAATAGTCGGTTAAATATAACTTTTACAAATTGAATAAATTTATTCAAGTTACAATTTATAATTTTATGAACCATACCAATGAATTGGACAATAATTCATAATTAAATATCAAAAACTTGTTTTGTCTGGAAAATGAATAGTGTGTTTTTGGTGACAGTGCATGATAATTTTGTAGCACGTGTTTTGTATATATGTGATTCCTTAATTCTTTGACGAATGGCACATTCACCGTGGCTTCTGTTTTTATTGCGTTAGTTTAGCCCACTTAGAAGACGGATGGATGGCCTAGCATTATATTATGCACGAGAGCATCGCACACGTCTGCGTTTACACGCTTTGCTGGTCGACACAATAAGTTAGTCTGCTTGCACATTGTCTCCTATCCATTTGCATCATCTTCTTCTTCTTTTTCTTCTTTTTTCCACACACTCAACCCTCTAGTGAATATTTTAAGATTATCTAGATTTTCAAGAAAGATAACTATTTAGATATACTATTTAGTTTTAAAATGCATATATTCTAAGACTACAAAAAAAGGCGCTGTCGGATTAGTGACGTTTCACAATTTATACAAATCGTCTTAATCAATCAAAAAAAAAAAAAAAGATGTATCGCTAACCGATCACTTAAAAAAAATATGTATAAAGTTAATGTACCGATGGGAGATTATCATTTTTCAAATATTTAATTAGAATATATTACCGAAAAAAAACCCTATGTTTCGTTTCAATTTTTATGAGTCAAAAATTTTCATTATGTTGAACATTTTTGTATTCATGAAGGCGCGCTTCTTGAAAAATTTAAGTGTACTTAAGAACTATTCAAACAAAAGTATATTTCTTTAAGAGTTTTTAGCTTTCTTTATACTTGAGATTTTTTAAAAGCATTTTCTCCATGTAGAAATCTTATACCATATCACATTTATTCTCAAAATAAACATCAACAGTTTATACACTTTTCTTTGAAAAAATAAGAAGGAAGAAAAAAAAGCCTCATCTGTTTCTCCAAATTTTTATTTCGAAAGGGAAAAATTATGACAAGAAATTAAGTATGGTGGAAAGAAAATAAACATATTTTTTTGGGGGGGGGGAAAGAAATAGTGTAAATTTGGATAATTGAATTTTAATTCGAAGTGACAAATTCGTTTTTTTTGAATATTTAAAAAATGATTTTTCAAAACATGAAAAGGTTACGACGTACGGTTACTATGGAACCAGATACTAGGGAACCGGATACTATATGGTACCGGTTACTATGGTACAGGTTACTATATGGTACCCGATACTATATGGTACCCGATACTATATGGTACCAGATACTATGTGGTAACGGTTACTATATGGTACCGGTTACTGTGGAACCGGATATTATATGGTTCCGGATACTATATGGTACCGGATACTATATGGTACCGGATACTATATGGTAGCGGTTACTATGGTACTTTATACTATATGGTACCAGTTACTATGGAACCGGATACTATATGGTACCGGTTACTATGGAACCGGATACTATATGGTACCGGTTACTATGGTACTTTATACTATATGGTACCAGTTACTATGGAACCGGATACTATATGTAACCAGATACTATATGGTACCGGTTACTATGGAACCGGATACTATATGGTACCGGTTACTATGGTACTTTATACTATATGGTACCAGTTACTATGGAACCGGATACTATATGTAACCAGATACTATATGGTACCGGTTACTATATAGTACCAGATACTATATGGTTCCGGTTACTATGGTACTTTATACTATATGGTACCAGTTACTATGGAACCGGATACTATATGTAACCAGATACTATATGGTACCGGTTACTATATAGTACCAGATACTATATGGTTCCGGTTACTATGGTACTTTATACTATATGGTACCAGTTACTATGGAACCGGATACTATATGTAACCAGATACTATATGGTACCGGTTACTATATAGTACCAGATACTATATGGTACCGGTTACTATATAGTACCAGATACTATATGGTACCGGTTACTATGGAACCGGATACTATATGGTACCGGTTACTATATGGTACCGGTTACTATGGTACTTTATAGTATATGGTACCAGTTACTATGGAACCGGATACTATATGGAACCAGATACTAAGGAATCGGTTACTATATGGTACCGGTTACTATGAAACCGGATACAATATGGTACCAGTTACTATATGGTACCTGATACTATATGGTACCGGTGACTATATATCGGTGACTAGGATAAAATTAGTTGCACTTAATTTTTATACAGATTTTATGGTAAAAATTCTACTTCTTTTTTTTTCGTCTGATTGAATAAAAAGAATATACCAATTTTCAAAAAATAGGAATACAATTTTAAAAGTGATAAATGGTTTATAAAATTTGTGCTATATACCCATAATCATCATTGAATTCACGAAGCGTGAAGGTGATCCTTTTTACGCGAGTTTTAGTATATATACACATTTTACCTTCTCTTTGGCACACGCTCCATTGCCACTTCCTCTTTTCGTGCACGTCATATTGAGAAACGGAGGTGTGGGGGGAGGGGTTATTCGCAAGAACTAAGACACTTATATGGGTGGGGAAAGGTGCCCCCCTCCTCTTTCCACGATTCAACACTATTGGGTACGAGTCGTGCGCCACCGTTAAAGAGCAAAAGCGAAGCGCATTACACGCATGGGTGTGAGGAACAAGCATGTTTCCCGTCAAGAGAAAGAGGAGAGGTGGCGAAGAAGGTGGAGCGGACGAGCAAAAAAAAAAAAATGAAAGGTTAAAACAGAGGTAGGAAGACTTGGAAAGGAGAATGGAGAGGGTGGGGAAGAATGAGAATTTCATCGAGTCTGAATTCTTTGACGGGATTCTTTCACTTAAACCCAGACGAGCGTATAGTATTATTTACAGGATTTAAATTGTAAAATCAGAAACAAGAGGAATTTTTTTTTTTTTTTGTGGAGAAAAAATAAAATAAAAGATAAAACAGAAGTGTGGAGAGTTAATTTCCTCTGGTCAAACAGTAGTAATCTCGGGTGACATAAGCCAACTGACGGTCTGCCATAAACCCTAAAGAGATAGCTTGGGTGTTAGCGATGGACTAGATTTAAGGGGGAGGGTTAAGGGTGAAAGGGTCAATTCTGGACACAGATTCTCTGCCACCAACAGTTTCTGATTCCCGCAGGAATTGACACTCGTTAACTATATACCTTTTACATCCCAATTTTACTAACCAAAATCCATCCTTCTAAAAGGGGGATTTGAAATTTGAATGTTTGGAGAATATTGGTAACACAGTGGAACATGCGGTTATGGATCATTCTATATTTGTTTAGGATTCAGTCTGATCATGGGGTCTCATTGTTCTCTAATTGTCAGTGCGTGACGTTTTGACAGCTTTTTGCGCCTAACGTAACATACCCACTTTTACCCCGAATTATTGTTGTTCCAGATGTGGGGGGTAATATTTACCTAACCAACAAGGCGAAAGAATTTTTCCCTAGTCGAAGAAAGAAACGTGAAAAATGGTTTATATTAGAGAAAAAGAGCACTCTTCAGGCTAAGAATTCTAAAAATAAATCCTTGTGTGGGATGAGGAAGAGATGAGAAATAACATGTCATCTGTCAAAAACGACACGAGCACCTGTGACTAGAGTTTACATGTTAATTGACAGGTATTTTAAAAACATCTAATCTTTTTTTACATATATATAAATTATCATCATCATGGTCCATAAAAATTCTCAACAGATTCTGTCACACCAAAGAAGTTATAAACAGTTATTTTTCCAATTAAAATTATGACAAATCAAATTTAAATTATCTTTTTTTTATACCTATTTCACTCCTTTGCGAAATGGATAATTCCTGTTCGTCAAAATTGAATTTGTATTGATCCACACCTGAAACAGAAGAGAAAATTTTTTTAATATATAAATACAACTTTTTCTAAATAAATGAATTTCTATTAAAGAAGATTGAAAAAAAGGTGTTATAAGAATCTAAAAAAAAACCTCAGGGTATGATAAAAAACAGTGCTCTATTCATTTTAGCTGATAAGGTACGACCTAAATAAAAACGTAATCTTCCACACGCGTGATGGACTTGCGTCCTTTTTATTCTCGTTATCAGCGATGACTGTTCAAAAGAAAAACACCGCATCCATCAAATAAAAAATTTTTTTTTTTCACATTGGAATAATTTAATAGAAATATTAATAAATTATACGTAGAGGCAGTAATTATTTTTCGGGCAAAACAAATGGTCTGAGAATGAATGTGTAAAATGGAATAGAGTAGAGAGAGAGAGAGATAGAGGAGAAATTTAGTATCTAGATGGAGCGGAAATTTCATTGACCTCATCCATCAAACGGACGTCCTTTATAGTTGGTGTGGTTTAGGTGAAGAGGACACACGATAAATACACAGAAGAAGTGCATATAACGCCTAAAAACAGCTTTTTTTTTTGGACAAAGCTACACTATATATACCACCCCTCAAAAATAATATCGCGAATTCGTATACACTCTCTGAAGATCCATGCAAACAGATACACAAGCCATATAAGCACACGAGTATAACAAGCAGTCGAGTGGCAAACGTTGCTCCAAATCTACTATATGTACTATATAGTTGCGAATGCAAATATTTTTCAACTACTATATACGAGAGCAAAGAAACAGGAAAAAAAAATATGTTTACCCATGTGTACGCAATTTTCAACATTCAATTCGGAGGGAAAAAGAAGAAAGAAAATTAATTAGGATAAAACTATTTACAAGGGATTTCATTTGTACGGAAAAATAGAGGCGAATTTTTTTTTTTTTGCTTTTTGCAGTCGAAATATAATATTTTGTGTTACATTTGCAAATTTGCTGGATAGTATTTGGAAAAGTACTTTTCTGTATTGTTTTTTATGATTTTGGTATATTCTGTGTGGAAAAGTTTACTTTCCTGCACTGGTTATTATGATTTTATTATGTACTGTGTGGAAAACTGTACTTTTCTGCACTGTTTTCATAACTCTGCTACATACAATGCAGAAAAATCTATACTTTTCTGCATTGTATGTAGCAGAGTTATGAAAACAGTGCAGAAAAGTATAGTTTTCCACACAGTATGCAGGAAAGTTGTACAAAAAATAGAGTAGAAAATTACACTTTACTGCATACCGTGTAGAAAAGTATAGTTTTCTGCACTGTTTTTTTAAAAATAAATTTGCTGCATACTGTATGGAAAAGTATACTTTTCTGCATTGTATGTAGCAGAGTTATGAAAACAGTGCAGAAAAGTATAGTTTTCCACACAGTTTGTAGGAAAGTTGTAAAAAAACAGAGTAGAAAAGTACACATACCGTGTAGAAAAGTATAGTTTTTTGCACTGTTTTTTTAAAAATAAATTTGCTGCATACCGTATGGAAAATTATACTTTCTTGCACTGTTTTATAACTTTCCAGAGTAGAATACAGAAAAGTATACTTTTCCACACTGTTTTATAACTTTCCAGAGTAGAATACAGAAAAGTACACTTTTCCGCACTGTTTTATAACTTTCCAGAGTAGAATACAGAAAAGTACACTTTTCCGCACTGTTTTATAACTTTCCAGAGTAGTATGCAGAAAAGTACACTTTTCCGCACCGATTTTTTATAACTTTCCTGTATACCGTGCTGAAATGTATACTTTTCTATACAGTTTAGTATAGAACATAGTATAAAATCGAAGCTATGCAATTATGCAACACAAAAAATAGGATTATTATAAAAGTCGGGTGTTTATGATTGGAAGGGCCTCTATAATTATAAAATCAATCCACATGGACGGTTTTTTTTTTCTAAATCAGAAAGGGACTTTTCGTGACCCTATTTTTGTTTAGGATTTGTCTACAGGGAAATCTATTAACTTCCGCCCACACCCCGCTACAAACGACGACCATCTGGCAAATACAGAATGAAACGCATACACACATACGTTTTGGCGAACTCGATTCTCGTAAACATCGACGCCCAGTGTTCAATTAAAGCCTATTTATTATCCTTTTATAGCGAAAAGGGAGAAGCAGGCATTCCAATATGTATATATATATATTCAAGAGACCGTTAGAAATATAATTTTTGAGACTGAGAGTCACTGTTTGTGCTTTATGTCGATCGCTTTCAATTAAAATTTTCTATCTCTCGTATTATAAATTCCACAAGTTGCAACAATTTTTTTATATTAAATTTTTACAATTTGTTGTATATTCAAAAAAAATTTTATTGCCACTTGTAAATATTTGCATATTAATTATTAAAAAAAAAAAAATTCCCTTTGTTGTATCTTTAAAAAAAAAAATTAATTTTCTTTGTATTTACTACTCGGAATTTTGTTTCTAATGTGACAATTCATTGCAATTAAAATGATATTGTCAATGATGAGTAATCCGTATAGATATCATTGTCTGATTAGTCCGGCACATTTCTTTCTTTTTTTTTTTTTTTTTGTTCAAGATAATTCTACAGCAAAAATTACTCAATTAAATTAATTTCTAATTATAGCTTATCACTCTTTTTAATTGAATTAAATTTTATTTCACCATAAATGACATTTTTTAAATGCCTCTTAATATATTCTTTAATTAATTTTTTTTTTTCAAATTTTTGATAATTAGTTAATTTCTTGAAAAAAAAAATTTCTGAATACATATTTCTTTGATCTTTGGATTTAAATTTAAATTCTAGAGAAAATGTCAGAAAAAAAACATACATTTTTATGTAAATCAGCATTTCGACAAGCAGTTTTCCATAAAAAATTGATTACTAATCTTTTAAACTGGGTCTAAAATGAACAAGTGTCTAAGAGGACATAAAAATAAATTACATGTGTCGTAAAAAAAGATGTTTGGGAATGAAAATTTTCTATGTATGCATAGAAAATTTCCTTGAAAATATAATTAATAAAAAATACTAATTCAAAAAAATTAGAGATTTTTATCTTATGAACGTAAACAAGATAAAATTTCTCTTTTTGAATACAAGTTTTTACTAAATTTTGATTAAGCCATCAGTTTTCATCTCTGATTAACAGTTTAATCTTAATGAAATCCAATAATGTTTATTTGAAATATTTCTATTTTATAAAAATTGTAAATCAATTTTTTTGCTTTATTTTTTGAATTACAATTTCAATATTGTATCAAATCACTGAAGAAGCGAATAAACATTCAATCAGAGTATATAAAAAAAAATATGCAAAAATGTTTTGTTGATTAATTCAAACTCTTGGTAATTTTTTTTTCTCGAATACAATATATAGTCATTATCATTGCTTGTCATAAATATCAAAACAAAATGACAAAGCAGGCTCAAACTCGTTTTTACGATGACAGGTCTTTTATATTTCTATTCACTCTTCTGCTGACGATAATCGGTACCATTCGTCATATAAACCAAAGAGAGAGAGAGAGAGAGAGAGAGAGAGAGAGAGAGAGAGAGAGAGAGAGAGAGAGAGAGAGAGAGAGAGAGAGAGAGAGAGAGAGAGAGAGAGGAACCTAAAATGTGCCTTGATCCACAGAAAATTTTTTTCTCATCTCCCCCCTCCCCCTATATACATGATTGGCCATTTCTGCAATCTCAGTATCTTGTCTCGTTAAAGCGGACGATAAAAAAAAAAGAAAAGAATAAATAATCATTTTCACAAAATAAGGGAGGCTATATATATTTCTTTTCGAAGGAAAATGAGGAAAAAAACGAAGTGATTTTCGTCGAGGATTCACTACTGTCAGAACGTATCGAATCTTTCGTTATTTCACACTGACCCTCTTCCTCTCCTCCCACTACTCAGTAAGAATGAGAGATAGAACTTTTTTTTTTCACCAAGTCTTAAGGGATTCCAGACGGGATATAATTTTTCTTCTCGCCTCGGGAGGATTGGTGTGACCTCTCATTTTCTTCGATCCCTATATATATATACAACACACACCACCCGGTTTTCAAGAGTCTCTCGCGGTCAACAATGCCGCAGTGATTTCTGTCTATTGAATTTCTTCGATCTGATTTCATTCTCTTTTTTTTTTATTTATCTGTAATATATAAATTTTTTCCATTCATGTTTCTTTTTCGCAATAAAAATTGTTGTTTTTGCAAAAATTTTCGTGCAAAAAAATTCTTTTTAGGATTACGTGTGTCTTAGGTCCGAAAGCCTTATAGTAACACGGTAACAGTTACCATAGCAACCGTTTCCATAGTAACCGGAACCATAATATAAACGGTACCATAGCGAAACCTGAACCATAATGATTGGAACCATAGTAACCGGTACCGGAGTAACCGGAACCATAGTAACCAGAACCATAGTAACCAGCATCATAGAAAAACCGGAACCATAGTAACCGGTATCATAGCTAAACCGTAACCATAGTAACCAGTACCATAGCAAAACCGGAACCATAGTAACTGGCACCATAGCGAAACCGGTATCATAGTAACCGGCACCATAGCGAAACCGGTATCATAGTAACCGGTACCATAGCGAAGTCGGTACCATAGTAACCAGTACCATACATAACCGAAACCATAGTAACCGGTACCATAGCTAAACCGAAACCATAGGAAAACCGGAACCATAGTAACCGGTATCATAGCTAAACCGGAACCATAGTAACCAGTACCATAGAAAAACCGGAACCATAGTAACCAGTACCATAGCAGAACCGGAACCATAGTAACGGGCACCTTAGCGAAACCGGTATCATAGTAGCCGGTACCATAGCGAAACCGGTATCATAGTAACCGGTACCATAGCGAAGTCAGTACAATAGTAACCACTATCATACATAACCGAAACCATAGTAACCGATACCGGAGTAACCGGAACCATAGTAACCAGCACCATAGAAAAACCAGAACCATAGTAACCGGTATCATAG